GGGCAATATGCTGACATTTGTAAATGTGTATTATTGCTCAGAGAATGCTGTAAAGCACTATGGAGAGATATATAAGTCTAAGTGCCATCGCTATTGCTAATATGAAAACTTCCTGGAAATGATGGAAAACAACTATATCACTAAGTACCACTGGAATATGGAGGAGCTTGGGGAAATGTAAGTAGCGATGGTTGAAAAAAAATGAATGTAAGAGCAGTCATCATTCTCCCTAATGATGGAGAGGGCAAGAATAACATTGCTTACCTAAAAGATAACTGCAAATGAGAATGTAGTTATGCATGTACCCATGGATAGGGAAACTACTACTGAAAATCTTATTGTTTTTATTCAATATTCTTATTATTAATGCAAATAAGCAAAGCATCCTGAATTATCAATATAACAACTAGAAGCACTGGAAATATGTCCACTTTGGGTTGGACACATTTTCAGTACTTCTAGTTGCTATAATTAGTTGGGTGATTCTTCTGAACAGGTCCCACTGTATGTTTTTAGCACCTGGAAAGAGAAATCTGAGCTTTGACAATTCCTGGTATAGCAATTTCTCTTGAAATTTCCTTCCTGACTAATTGTGCTCTGTTCTGTAAATTGGCATAGAATATATGTGATAGGACCATAAATCATTCTACTTTCATAGATTACCGTATTCATGTCCAAAGTTTCATCTATCATGTTTTGGAAATTGGAGAAATCACAATTTAGCTCTTTAAGAGGTTTTGTGAATATCGCATCCAGTAGTGTACTGCAGTTTCCTGTCAAAAGATAAAACACATAGAAAAGAATCACCAATAAATAAACTGACTGACAATCCTACTTGAATTTATCAGATGTTTAAATAGATTAGCAGCTGTAGAGTAACTTACTAAATAGTAATTTAAGAACCTGTTTGGTGCAGTGGTTAAGGCTCCAGGCTAGAACTAGGAGACAATGAGTTTTAGTCTTGCCTCAGGCTTAAAGCCAGTTGAATAGCTTTGGGCCAGCCCCTCTCTCTTAGCCCAGGGAATAAGACAAGGGCAAACTACTTTTGAGTCGTGCCAGAAGAACTACAGAGAAACCCTAGGCAGTTTTCAAGAATCAACAAATCATTTGAAAGGGGGAAAAATAGTAAATTACAGAATTATACATTTAACTATATCGTTGGTAGTAGAGAGAATTTTAACACTTTCATGGATTCCCAGAGTCTTGATCAGCTTAGCATTTTTCTCCTTTTCTTAAGGAACCCGGAATCAAATCAATCCATTTCTAACATGAAAACAGTTAGATTCTTTAATCCAGTCATTTAGAATGTAACCCTACTCAATATGGAATGACATATATATATATATAGGTACCACGTAGATCTGTTGGTCTGNACATGAAGTTGGAAAAAGCTAATGTAAGCATTTGATGAGAGTGGAGGCAAAGAACACTCAATTTTTCTGACTTTTTCTTTATCATATTTTTTTTTGAGTTGATCTTCCCAGAAAAAAATGATTGCTTATTCAAAGAGTTCTACAAAAATGTTCATTGCTAACACATACACACAAATACATAAGCTCTTTCCATAACATGTAACTACTAGTAATCTGAACAACAGGGATTGCAATACATTTGGTATACATAGTTCTGAGTTATCAATGTGATCCAGTTTTCTGTCTATCACTATTCTGCATGAATCTTTTTATTAGTACTGATACAATACTGAGTTGTACCGTAATTTCTAAATTATAAATCCTAACTTCCAGAAAAGTGTGTGATTATGTTTGGGGGAAAAATATTCTTGTCGCATATTGGCCAAAATATGCCAGTACTGAGAGTACTGTTATTATTATTAAAAGGCAATGCTGCGTGTGGCATTGGTATGACTAAGCCTAGTAATTTTATTATATTACAAAGCATGATGTGAAAACTGTGATTGATCAAAGCCATGATGGGCAGCAGACGTTAATCTATGGGCCCACCAGGTGATAACCATAAAATATGTAAGACTGTAACATGCAATCCAGGGAAAAAAGCTTTACTATATGATATTAATAGATGAGTAGAAATAAAAGATTATAGAAAATGCTGCTGGGCCATTTAGAGTCGCAAAAATGAATGAAAATAACAATTCCTTTCTGAGTATTTCCTTAGAAAAAGCTGTTTTAAATAAATGGTTTATGCATAAGTCTATTCATGCATACACATATCCAAGAACTGAACTGATTTAAGTTGAATGTTTAGGAAGAAAGATAGAGAATATTAGTGAAGGATACAAAGTGATAAGAGGTTCTGAATATGAAACAAGCCATTTTTGCCAGTCAAGAGTAAATCTTGGGAAATATAGACATTGAAGAAATGTAAGAAATAAGTGTGAAAATAAAACTACTTCAGGAAAAGAAAGCAATTATGAAAAGGTATAAGAAAATAGGTTGTCTTCCCAACTGAATAAATAGAAAGTGGTTATTAAAAGAAAGGGAAGCCGTTGTGGCCTAGTGGTTAGAATCCAGCATTGCAGGCTAACTCTGCCTACTGCCAGGAGTTTGATTCTGACCGGCTCAAGGTTGACTCAGCCTTCCATCCTTCCAAGGTCAGTAAAATGATGACTCAAATTGTTGGGGGCAATATGCTGACATTTGTAAATGTGTATTATTGCTCAGAGAATGCTGTAAAGCACTATGGAGNCAAACAAACACAAACACAGAAGTTGGATTGGATATATTTTCCAATGGCTTGAAAGCAGCTCCTCTGCCATACCCCCCCCACCCTATACTAATAGGTCCTCTATTAGTAGAGGACCTCTACTAATAGCTAATAGGACTAATAGCAACCAGGACCTACTGGAGGTGTGTGTTTAGGGGTTGGTCTCCTGGACTTCCAATGAACAGTGGGACTTTTGGGGGAAAGTTGGAACAATAAAAGGGAGTTAAACCTTCATTCCGGCTGTGCTGATTCCATTCCCAGCCCCGGGTTATCACTTGTATGCTGAAGACTACCTATATTTATTCTTCTGACTTTTCCAGAGAGGATTTATATCCTCAGGCTAGTGACAACCCCTGTCTTCATGGGGTAAGAAGCTGGTTTGAATGCTTTGCCCCCTGCAGCTATCACCTTGGAAGCAGATTTCTTTCTGCTAGCTCATCATTAAGTCACCCACTGGTGGCAACAACAGGAAGGATAGCTGACTGTTGCTCAGGCAAGGAAAGGCTTAAGCATCTCCAAATTGCAGTGCTTCCAGGCAGTGTAGCAAAACAATTTTGGATGTTGAGCCATTTTGTATATCTGAATATAAAAATATAACATTCAGCCTGAAATTGCATAATTGGACTAGAAAGTATTATTGGGAACAAGTGCAAGTTGTCTGCGTGATCATTTTGACAAAAATAATAATAATAATGGAGAGATAGATATACCTCCCTCCAGTATCAGTTCTTTAAACCTAAAGATGGACCAGATGTTATTGAACACTTTGGTTTCTAGAAATCGTTTTTCCCTTCTTCTTCCCAGTAAGAAAAAATATATGTATTTTCAGTGAGTTACTTTGTGTTAAGCATTATAATATAAGAAATATAATTCATCACATCCGTATGCTGTCTTTCCTGTAAGGCTTAAAAGAAAAACAATGTACAAATGTGATAAATAATAATTAATGATAGGCTTGGGGGTTAGCAAAAAGGTATCCAATCTGTTCCATGTAGCTATCTCTAAAAGGAAATAACAGGGACAGCTTTTAAAGATGAATTTTCAAATAGTGAAACAAGCTGAATTAGAAAGCTGGAATCTTTTGCAGCATATTTAATGACATTAATGGCTTGAGCTGCTTGTGGAGGAAACAACGGCAATGCCTATATATATTTTTAAAGAACTGATTTGTGCGTTTCTACTGCTATAGTATTAATGAGCTGTTTATCAACAGCAGGTAAAGCATCTGTTTACAATGCCTTGACCTGTGTTGACCTTTACAAAATGAGGAATTCACAGTTTGCAACAGCATTGTTTTATCAAACAACTTCATGTTTTATTTGGGCCCTAATTGTGTATAGTGTAGTAATAAATGGGGAAAAGGGAGGAGAAGGCAGCTAGAATGAGCTCTGCTAAGTGTTTCCGTTGCTTCCTCCCTTTTGCATTTTAAAAGATCAGCAATTTTTTCTACTTAGCCATTAGCATTCATGTAACAAATGTTATCGCTCTTTCATTGTCCTTGAATTTTACATCTGAAACTTTGAACTTTACTTTTGGCTCTTCGCAATGAGAAGTTTGAATACACTTTTGGACAAACTGACAATGGAGCCGAGGCGGCGCAGTGGTTAGAGTGCAGTACTGCAGGCCACTTCAGCTGACTGCTAAGCTGCAGTTC